AAGAATTCTTCTCAAACAAACTTGAAATTCCTAATTCAAATGTGAGCTCCATGGTTAGAGAGAGGACAAAGGTCTTGGATGAAATCCAGACAAGAATGATAACCTTGACTGGGGAAGTGAGTGAAGAAATTTTAAGGCTAAATACAAATAGCTGAGGAAAGAAGTAAGCCTAGATCTAATTTAATTCATCAGCCCCAAAGTAGTATGGAATTAGTTAACCTAGTACAAATGAATTCTCCAAAAGGGCTTTATTTTCAGCCTGAGTAATGGGAAGTGTATAAGCCCAGAACATGTAGAGATAGGAACCACTGGTTAATAAAAGAGTTTTCCCAAGCAGTATGTTAACATTGAACACATTTTATTTTTTAATATTAATTAATTAAAATTAATTTGGCTGCGTCGGGTCTTAGTTGTGACACGCAGGATCTTCATTACAGCATATGGGATCTTTGGTTGTGGCACACGGGCTTCTCTCTAGTTGTGGCACACAGGCTCTAGAGTGCTTGGGTTCAGTAGTTGCAGAGCATGGCCTTGGTTGCCCCGCGGCATGTGGGATCTTAGTTCCCTGACCAGGGATGAAACCCACGTCCCCTGCATTGGAAGGCAGATTCTTTTTTCTTTAATTGATTAATTTATTTATTTTTGGCTGCATTGGGTCTTCGTTGCTGTGTGCAGGGTTTCTCTAGTTGAAGCGAGTGGGCACTGCTCTTCGTTGCAGTGCACGGGCTTCTCATTGCGGTGGCTTCTGTTGTTGCAGAGCTGGGGCTTTAGGCGTGCGGGCTTCAGTATTTGTGGCCCACGGGCTCAGTAGTTGTGGCTCACAGGCTCTAGAGCACAGACTCAGTAGTTGTGGTGCATGGGCTTAGTAGCTCCACGCATGTGGTATCTTCCTGGACCAGGGCTCGAACCCGTGTCCCCTGCACTCTTAGGCAGATTCTTAACCACTGCACCACCAGGTAAGCCCTGGAAGGTGGATTATTAAGCACTGGACGACCAGGGAAGTCCTAGAAGGTGGATTCTTAACCACTGGACCACCAGGGAAGTGCCTGAACACATTTTAAACAAAACAGGTTGACACAGATCACATTCCTAGGATACAACCTAGTGATACCTGGGTAGTGTACCAGATAACTAAAAAAGCTTCATACCTAACGTGTGATACATTTGTCTATTCACTTAAGTAACATGTTGTTTTGTTTAAGGTAGGGTCTATTTAAGGACTGTTCAAAGGATGGGAGTGATGCCTAAAGAGGTGGTTAGGTCATAGAAGACATCATAAGATACAAATGTTTGAGCTGATTCTGGAAGAGAAAGAGGCTAAGAGAAGAACGTGGAGGGGTGCCCAGAATTGTTGGAGAGAAAAATATTTCAGACAATGGGAATGGAATTAACAAATGCCCTGAGGCATGAGAGAGCTTGGTTTGTTGGAGGAACATAGAAGAGTTAAGAGTGGCTAGATTACAGAGCACATGAGGGAGTGTAACATCAGAGCCTGAAAAACGATACATCCCACCTTAAAGTCCCTGAGTATCCACAGGCCTAAGAATCCCATCTTTAGTGGTAGAAATCATGTGACACTCCTTTCCCCCACAATTGTACACTACTTAATATCTGGTATTTTCACCTCTGTTAGCAATGGAACATTCATCAAAACCTGAATACCAGCTGATAAACAAAAAACTGCCTCGGTTGTAAAATTACATAAACAATTTAAGTTAGAAAACATATATATATGTCTCCCTAACGAAAGCAGTCTTCCATTTTTACCAAATTCTCTTTTCTGTCTACTAAGGGATCAACCTCATTTTAAGCCCCAGTAGTATTCTATCTTTCCCACAAAAGAGGGAGGGGGAAAACATAAATTTCCAGACATGGTTTTGCACACAAATGGCAGACATAGATTTCTTTTTGTTTTGGGGTTTTTTTTGGCAGACATAGATTTCTAAAGGACGGTTTCCAACCTGTTAATAGTTTTCAATACACAACAGCTGCAATCCATGAAAGAGATAAATATTCATGGCACAAAGCATTTATATGTATCAAATGTATATTCATGAACAAATGGCTTCCCCTGCCTTTAATAGTGTTTGCCATGCAGTCAGTGAAGAATGGGCCAAGCTTCCCCTGGCTGCTACTGCTGAGTCTACCGCTACATCTCCTGAATGTCAGTTCTGCAGTGGTTACAGACAGGACAATAGCCGTGAAAAAAAACAAAAGCATGTGCCCAGAATCACTCCCCACTCATTCCAGATTGGCTAGCAACCCCTCCCTGCATCAAATATTAACAGCAAATTCTATATGTCTGCCAACTTATTTTTCAGGAAAAAGCATTATATATTCCAGCCTTATGTGGCCATATGTGCAGGGTAATATCCATGGTTGACCATCCTCTTTCAAATATGCTTTGTCACAGTACTGCCCTCCCAACGGGCTTCACTCAGAATACTGGGAAGGGAATTTGCATACACTGAATAGCATTCTCAGGTGACCATCAGTGTCCAGTTGTCGTGCCCTCAATCAGAGCATTCTGTGCAGCATGGAAGCAAAAGAATGACAGTGCAAACTGTTCGACAGAAGTCTTTGTTATTCAGCAAGGTTTGCTGGATGGCACGTGCTTTTGAAAACTGGCATGCTGTTTGATAAAAAGTGTGTTTGCTCCCTTAATTTCTCCAGGAGGGAGACAAGAATAGAATCATGTGCCTTTGGCTGAACAAGAATAAGGAGCCATTATAAGGCTTTAGGGCACTGAACAAAGCCTGCTAAAAATAAAAAATAATCATAATCATAAAATGAAAGTATTTAAATTGTATCATGCAGGCAAAGGAGCTTGTCAGCTTTGCAGACAGGTTCTCCTCGCCCCTTCTCTCCATTATTTTTGGTCAGCTCCCAGCCCTCCTTTATAGGGTCACAAGAAATAATTCCAACCCTATTGAGCATGCCAAATTTCCCCTTTCTCTCTATTAGTATTTGCTGTCGATCCACTCTAAGAGATGAGCTTTTAAGACCATAATGATAAACTGAAAATGGGACTTGATACCATTCCCTCCCGCACATTTTTATAAGGATACTAGCTGTATCTGAATTTTAGTTTGCAAAGTTAAATTACACCCAATTCCTCTTAGTAGTTTACACAATACATTGTATCAGAATCCAAGTGGTAACCTACTATGAAAAGTGAAAAAATTTTAGCTCTTTGTTTTATGAGACTGAGATTGCATATAATAAACGGTGAGGAGGAAGCACCTTACTGGATATGCCAAGGTTCCAGAAATATCATGAATTGTAGCTGTACTTGGCTAGGATGACATCATACCTCACTATAAATTATATGGTTCCAGTATTTAAAATATAGTTTCAGTATTTAAAACAATGCCAATCTTGCCTTGGATTGTATTATGAAAATCAAACCTTCCTTAAGGGAATGTCCCCGAAATTTCCATAAATAAATAGAAGAGACTCTCTAAAGAATGACGAATCCCTGAAGACCTCCAATTAATTCCCTAGATCCCTCCCACTTCTAATTATACAATTATACAATTCAGAGCATGCTGTTATCATCTTTTTCCCCTGTCTCAATGAAGAACTCAGTATATGTGTCAGATTCCTCTGCGCCAGCTTTATACATCCTTACTATGAAGAGCAGTCCACATTGTCATTTAATACCAGACCACAATTGTTACTTTATCAGAAGTAAAAACAATATAAAAGGCATAGGAATCGACCTCATCTAATCTGTCCATTTATTTGAATTATATCTTCCATGCCTATCATGTTCTGGGACTGTGCTATTTGCTATAGACACAGCATTTCTCTCAAGATGTGTTTAGTCTAACAGAGAAACCAAATGAAGTATCCATACAGTTAGAATGCAGTGTGCTAAGTGCTCCAGTGGAAGAAGCATAGGATGCTATGGGATTCGGAGAGTTTGACACTCACCAAAGGTCCCGTAACAAGAAAACAATAAAGCTTAGGTTTGACTCAAGTTTTTCCAGGATCTTAACACTGTACATACTGTTTACATGAAATACTGATTTAGCTGTGTCCAGCCTCTCTTATATAGAACAGCTACTTGAGACCAGCCATAGGAAATTCTCTCCCCATGCTCTTAGGTAGAATTAGAATCATGTCACATGTGGCTGATCTCAGCCACAAAGCAGGAAAAGCTGAGAAGTAGAAAGTAGGCAATCTCATGACTCACTGAGTGAGGAAAACAGGAATGGCAGAAAGGCTCTGGCTATAGGTGGAGTCTGTTCCTGTTCCTATCAGGTTCTTGACTCTGCTTTGGTCTTGGGGCCCAGCTAACTGTCCTCTGCATGAATCCAAGGGCTGGAATGGCATCACTCCACCAGCTCATGGACCCATGGGGAAACTGCTGCCACGGCTCTCTACGGCTACACTTGACACTAAGCTGTTTTCTTGGGGAGGTTGGGGTGCTGGCCCAGACCCAGCCTCCCATTGGCTCCATTGCTTGGTATTCCCTGCTCTACCGTCTGTTGGAGTCCATACTGGAATCCCTGTCATATCTCTGCCATCCTCCCCACCTTCCACAAGTTAGTGGTTAGATTCTCCATCAATTTTTAGTCTCCTACCAACCATGAGGACTAAGGATAAGATAATAAACTAATCATGGCACAGAAACTAACCACAACATCTCCCAATGTTGCACAATTATGGCCAGCCTCAGACCCATCTCCCAAAAGCTTGGATGTGGGGGATGAGTTCTTCCCATTGGCCAACATCTTCAGAATTAAAAGGAGGGGCAGGAAGGAATGGAAACTAGGATGTGGAAAGAAATGTGACTAACCTATAAGCCAAGTACCATGCTGGGCACTTTCTAATACTTTACTTCACCAACTCAAAATAACCCTTGGAGGCAGGTATTATTGACTGAGAGAAAAGAAGTAGTGAGGTTAAATATCATTCCTGAGGTCACACAGCCAGTAAGTGCCAGACGGAAAATTTAAACTAAGTCATATGCCCCTTCCACCACTGGTACTTGCCTCTGAAGACAGACGTGTCCGGATCTCAAGTTGAAAGAGAGGGTGGAGGCACCTTTCCATAGAAACTGAAAAGCAGCTTGATGTACTTTTCTGCTCTGTATGCAGAACAACAGTCCAAATACTAAAAAAGAAAGGAAAAAAAAAAGACATAAAACTTCACTGAAAAACTACTCATGTAACACAAGGAGTTCAGTGCCTCTGAGTCACCAGGACTAACAGCACTCCAGTGGGTCTGGACTAGGCTCCCCCTCCCCAGCTCCTGAGAAAACTGTTGCCCACTTCTCCCTGGAGCTATCACTGTAGGGGAAACTGTTGACTTGGGAAAGGAAGGGTGGTGGCCCAGACCCAGCCTCCCACTTGCTCTGTTAACTGGATTTGCAAAGTCCCAAATATCACAGCATAGGATCCCTTTGTAAGTGCTGGTTCTGGACTGGACCTGGAGCCCAGGGGGCTGGGAGAGACATCAGCTAAGGCCTAGATGGGATGCATAAGCACAGAAATAAAGGGAAAGAAAAATACTGAAATGGGTAGTTTCTGTGATTAGTTCATTGTGATTACCTTACCCTAGCACATAATGTATTGGTACTAAACTAACAATAGATTAAGAATCTAACCTCTAACCTATTCTGATTCCTAAAAATTTACTTCTATAAATTACTTTTAGAACTTAAGTCTTTTGTTATTTGAGAATTTACAGGCCTTTCATTTTATATATATTTATATATTTTGTATTTAGTACATATATTATACATGCATGTATTTTACACATATATATTTTATATATATACATGTATATATAATTATACAAAAATGAATATGTATATATAAACACACACACATATATATATATATATAATTTATAAAATTAGCGAGCCTTAGAGAAATTCTAAATAGAATTTGAAATTGAGAAGGTATGAAGCTACTTAAGATCATTCATATTGGGAATTTGCCACTGTAGTTCTTGCAGTCATCTACAGGTAGAGATGAATATCATAGTTTTTCATTGTTGGGATGGGAGAAGTTGGCTATTGCATTTAGGACACTTTTAAATCTAGTAAGAATATTGCAGCTTCTACACAGATATCCTGAGCCAGTGTTCATTGTTCACAGTCTCCTGACCACCATTCAAGCACCAGGGATTCTGTGCAACACAGGCCTTGATGCCTCAGCGCAGTGGGAGCAAAGCTTTCATTTATAGGATGTATTAGGTTCTCCAGAGAAACAGAACCAACGGGAGTATATAGATATATAGAAAGAGATTTATTGTGAGGAATTGGTTCACGTGATTGTGGAGGCTTGGTGATTGGTTTAGGTGATTATGAAAAGTCCCACAGTCTGCCTTCTGCAAGCTGGAGGCCCAGGAACGCAAGTGGTGTGATTCCAGTCCAAACCCAGAGGCCTAAGAACCAGGGCCAAGGTGAAAGCCCCAGTCCGTGTCCAAAGGCTCAAGAACCAGGAGCACGAATTTCCAAGGGCAGGAGAAGATAGATGTCCTGGGACAGGTAGAGAGCAAATTTGCCCTTTCTCTTCCTTTTTCTTCTACTGAGGCCCTCAGTGTTTTGGATGATGCCTAAACCACAGTGATGAGGGTGATCTTCTTTACTCAGTCTACTGATTCCCATGCTAATATCTTCCAGAAGCACCCTCACAGACAGACCTAGAACTAATGTGGTTTTTTTTTTTTTAATATCAAGATATTCTTTATCTGTACCGACAGGAGAATTTTGTGAACAGTGGTCATATCTGTAACAAGGAAAGCAAAAACGCTGATGTTTCACACACTGCAGGGTTTAGAGACCCATGTTAGTGGATGAAAATGCAGAGAAATCCCCTACAACTTAAGTGCTAAACTGATTACTTAGAAATACTGTTTTACCAGCTATCTCAGCATTCTTTAGCTCAGTCAAGTTGACACCTGAAATTGCCATCTCACAGGGAAATCTTTTAATTTTTAAATGCAAATTCTCACATGGCTATAAGTTACCTAATTTAGTATATGTACACACCCATTTTCAAATAACCAGTGGAATTGCTCAGCGCTACCATCCTGAGCTGAGGATTCCTTCATGGTGAAAATTCATCTCTATAGGAACTATCTGCCTTTGATCACCTAGGCTCAAGCCTAATCAATTTCTTACTGAAACCTACCTCTAGCTTGTAAGGATTCTGAGTTTACTGTGGGCAGAATGGTTTACGATATGATTTTTACTTCACTGAAAAGAAGTGACTCAGGAGATACGGGAAAACTGCCCTGAGTGGATCAAGCTGACATTTCTTGTTTCCACATCATAGAATCCAGAAGCAAGAATGTTTATATGCTTTTCCCTTGTCTTAAAAGTCCATGAAAATATAAAAAACAAGCAGACACAATGACCAAAATAGGTATTAAGTAATTGGTTTTAATTAATGAATCCTATAGATATGCCCTTGAGTAGGAAGGCATGACCAGCTAGGGGCAGGCATGTGCCTTTAGAACAAAAGCTTTCCTGATGAAGGCTGGCACAGGTGTTTGTCCTCAATGGATATGACCATGACTTTTTAGAATTAGTGGCTACAAAGGCCTGAGGGGACTGATGTCAATCTTCATGTCCAATCCTGCGACTCTCCATTTTGAAAACCCCATTGTTAGAAAGGCACGGTAAGCAAGCAGTTCTTCAGGCAGACTCATGTCGTGGTTAGAGGAACAACTGCAGCAGGTGTAGGAGGTAAATCCTCTTAGCTCTATTGTGGAAGCTCATCTTTCTCCTGTTTCCAAATGGGGGCGGGATGCCCCGCCTCTGAGGTGAGCCAGCAGCGGGTGTCAGAGCAAGGGTGCTGAGGCAACAATATTGGTATAGCAAAAACACTGTTTACACATTATGGCTTTTGTACACTCAAGGTGAAACAAAATCAAAGCAGTTAACTAGCTCATGTTATGGCCCTCTAAGAAATACAGAAAAATTCCCATTCCAGCTATAGAATATATAAAATTCACAATATATGAACCCAAGAGGACTACCATTTAGGATTTAACACCCCATGCCTGACCTTCCATTCCTAGGTGAGTATGTGCTTTCTTATGTCTCATTTACGGTTCAGCATTGGTAAACTCTATTTTCATTTATAAAATGGACACTTTACTACAGGATGTTATAGCAGTCTTAAAGGTTCTATTCACCATTATTTGAAATAGATTTATTCCCCTTCAATGACTCCTGTCAGGAAAAAAACTAAAACTTTACTTCTCCTTCATGAGGCAGGGGCCACTTGGGGGTGGATGCAGCCAAATTATTCCCTAATATATAAATTACACTTACTTAGTGCTGGGGAGGAAAGTGGCCCATGTGTATATACAGGTCTCACACTACCAGGGGCTCTTTCATGTGATTTCATTTATTTCTCATTAAACCCCATTAGATAGGTCATGTTATTAGTCCCATTTTAGTAACATTTAGTAATGAAAAAACAAAAGCAGAGAGAATATCATGTTCTCAACTAGTAAGTGTTGTACCTGGGGTTTAAGCCCTTCTGATATGAAAACCAATGTCCCTTTCATAATACCACACTGTTTTCCTCCGTTATAACACCTGTGTTTATTTGTTCTTCTCTCACCCCCAGTACCCCACATCAAATATAAGGTAAGCTAGATGCTGGAGTCAGTGTTTCAAAAGGGCAGGGAGTGCTGAAGAAGCAAAGCCCCAAGATTAAAAAATAGTAATAAAGTATAGTTATTGAGAAACCTTGTAAAACAAGAAGAAGAAAGAGAGTTGGGGAGAGGAGGGATGACGAGGGAGGAAAAGAGGAAAACTTGAAATGCTGAGGGCTGTTTCCAATTTATTTTGAAATGAAGGTCAATGAGAACCAATACCATTTCTTTTCAAATTTCTTGTACCTTCCCCACTGGTTGTGTTTTTTGTTATCCTAGTCTTGTACCTACTTGAAGGCAGAAAAAAAAATCCTTTCAAAGATTAAAGAACTTTACTGTGGCTCTGCCGAGCTGAGGAACAATTGGAACTTGAATGAGGGGCGTAGTGTGCCTGACATCTGGGGGAGGCGCCTAAATGGAGCAGCAGGTAGTAGCAATGGAAAAGGGCAGGCTGAATCATCCCTGAGACTGCGATAAGAAGAAAAGACTTACTCTATTTCTACTTCAATAATATAATGAGAGTTGACATTTCTTTGAGTATTTCTATGTTCCCAAAATTGTTTTAAGCATATGCTATCTGTTAATTTAATTCTCACAAAATCCTGTGCGATATGTACTATTATTACCCCCATTTTATAGAGGAAGAAATTGAGGCCCAGAGAAATAACTTGCCCACAGTTATATAAGCTGTCATTTTCCCCCCTTTTTTCTCTTCTCTCCTCCATGTTTTCAACCATTTCTTAAAGGAGAAATGTGAATTTACTTATTTCCCACTTACTCTTTAACCCAATAAAATTTGGCTTCTATCCTCTCCACTCGCCCCCAACAGTACACATAAATGGGCCTTTCAGAAGCATCACCTGTGACCTCTTAACTTCCAGCTCCAGTGACCTGTTTTTGTTCCTCATCCCATTTCACTTCTCTGAAGCATTTCATAATGCGGACACTCCCCTTCCCTTTGACTGCCCAGGAGCCACCTATGCCTGGCTTTGCTCCTGTTCTGCTGGCCACTTGCCTTCAATCCTTGTTTCAGCCACTTTTTACATTTCTGGACAGCTTCCAGCTTTGTCTTTCACCCTTTTCTCTTCCAGTTCTAACGAGTGGGTCTCAGGAAGACATCAGAATCATCTGGGAGATTTTTTAAACTATTCACACCCTCTGCCAAGATCCTGGGTGTTCTGATACATCCCACACCCTGCTGGGGAGTAGAAGCAGGAAGAAGTATGTTACCACTACCAGAATACCTAGTGAATTTAACCAAATAGACATTTGCAAAGAGAGAACTCATCTTTCCTTTTCTTTCCAAAAGGTTATACCTCTCTCACTCCCACCTCCAAAATAGATACTACCAAGAATCACATTTGCCTTCCTTTCCCTCAATTTTAAAAATCTTTTAAATGGTGTATATTGAAAATAATGAAAAGAGGGAAATAGAGGTGGAGAAGAGAAAAGAGAGAAATGGATGGCCCAGGCAGTGTGTGTTTCTGCAGAGCAAC